ACAACACGTACAATATATAAATTAAGATGGCAAAGTAAATTTGTTAAAACAGGGCAAAAAACAGAAAAGGGAATTGAAGAGGTTATTATTGAGCCAGATTTACAATCTGATCCTATTATTAAACAAAAAATATCATCAGTAGCAGAAATCTTTTGTGGGGCAACTGATAATAACAAAGATAGAATTGTTGTTAGTACAAGATTTAACAGTCGCACAAATAACAACAAAAGCATTTATGTATACACAAATGATAAAGGTATGAACAGATTTTGTGGTTTGTGGGAACATATGTCTGATCAATTAGCAACTAATAATATGGGACCTGTGTCTATGGATCTCGATCATGAAAAAGTTGTAATTGGTTCAGCAAGTGGGATGATTTATGCCATGGGGTTTGTTGGTGATAAAGATTTCAATAACTAGTATTATATATGTAAATTTTTTTATAAAACTTAAGAGGAAAAGATAATGAAATTGTTATATATTATTATTTAGATATATATATATATATACACACACACACACACGGAAAAGATTAATATAGAATATTTTATTTTATTTTTCTTTCTTCGAGTAAGTGTTGGAGCCTGTCATGATAATGATTTCTGTTTTTATTTTTTTTTATTTTATTTGGTCAATTATATTCGCCATCACAACATTTATTATACTTGCTGCAATCATCAAGATTATACATGTTGTCAAAATTAATTTGGCTTTGACCCAAATCAATTTTTAATTGCGTAAAAAAAGTCACCTGATTGAGTCAAGTGATCAACCTATTTCTGCCACATGTATAATCAAGGCCATTATTTTGGCTTGCCATAAATCATATCAATTATTTGAAGTGAAATGATGTGTTGGTGATGACAATGATCTATTTTCACAAAAACCAAGAGTTCATATTATCAATATTTAATACGGCTCTCAATATCACGACTATAGGTGCTGCCCTAGAGTTTCGAACGGGTCGGGTTTCTTATATTTCGGGTCGGATCATAAATTTCATTTTACTCGCGGGTCACACGGGTCAAATGCTATATTAATACAGCCCTTGTCTTATTGAGGTGTTAGATATAAGAGGACCCAGCGAACTTCAGTAAGTTTAATATAATTTGACCCATAATATATACTAACATTAAAATTTTAAAACTATCTACTATTAACTGATTATCATAATTCGCTGATTTTATATTTTTGCTATATACACAAAATCTTTGGTTCCCTAATAAATCGTTGACTACTAATATATTTGACCTAATACAGTCAGACCTCCATAATGCACGCTATGTCTGGATCCAACCTCGGGAATTAGGGATAAATGCACACCCGCACTGCACGATATTTTTCAGTCCACTCATGAAACTCTATCCATAAATGCACCCACGTGATTAATGTATATATAAAACTCATCATGCATGTAACCATATAGGATAAATTTAGGGGCTTTCCTGGGACATTAGGTCTGGACCACCCCCATGTATATTGTATGTGTGGTGGTAGGTCGCGGTTTAAAATACGGGTCCGTAAGTTAGATCGAGTTAGTTTTATTTTGTTCTAATATAAATGTATAGATATATATAATCATGTATATTGAAAATC